GGGTGGAAGCTGGGGTGGAAGCTGGGGTGGAAGCTGGGGCGGAAGCTGGGGCGGAAGCTGGGGCGGAAGCTGGGTGGAAGCTGGGTGGAAGCTGGGGTGGAAGCTGGGGCGGAAGCTGGGGTGGAAGCTGGGTGGAAGCTGGGGTGGAAGCTGGGGTGGAAGCTGGGGTGGAAGCTGGGTTGAAGCTGGGGTGGAAGCTGGGGTGGAAGCTGGGGTGGTGGTGCAGGCAAGCAGCAGCAACGTAGAGGTAGCTGCAGCAATAGCAGCAGCAAGCAATGCATGGAGAGATATCTGGCAGGTTAAATAGAGCGGCATATTAAGGAGACTCTGTTTGGTTGGTTGTAGAGTGGCAAGGGGCGTTATGTATGAATGCAGCATAAGTGCTCGAGTTGACTGCCTGAACTAGCTCGCAGGCTGCCCCCCATTACGGACTCTTAATTGAAAAGTGTCAAAGTGATGAACCTACCTTAGTCTCTAGCGACTGTTCATTGGGAGTTTTGTCGCTACAATACTGTTATGTTATATATATTTATCTCCCTACGTGATGGTCTTTGTCAATGTCTTCTCCCAACTGCATCAGTCATCTAAATGCATGAGCGCCACATCCATTTGTTATATTTAGATTTTGATTCATTTCGCAGAAGAAAGATTAAAATGTAAAGATATTTTGTCTAAGAGCTATCTGAATTAGCCTTCTATACATTTAAATGATGCTAGCATTGAAGATAAACTCCTCTGCATGTCATAAAAAATAACAATTCCTTCAAAAACAACAAGTACTTGAGGTCATCAATGTTAACTAAAATCAAGTCACATTCAGAAATGTTATACATGTTCCCAAGTTAAATACACATCAGTAAAAGGAAATGTAGTCATAAAACCACCCAAAAGGCACAATAGCACTTAGAAACACATGTGAACACCATGGTAAAAGCATTTTTCATTTTATGAGACCCCTAAGTGACTTAAAGGATCATGATGTGAAGCTGCTTAGCTGCCTGCAGGCCTCAGAGGAATGCTGTTGGTACACAGCGCTGCTCAATGTGCTCTCTTCACTGGGGGAATCTGTGAGCTTTATGGCTGTAATGGTTTATAAAACCCAGTGATTTACTCACTTGTTTGACGTATCACATGTTGATCTGAAAAGTAGTTAAATATGTCAAATAAATGTGGGACAATATCAGCCTTTGAGTTGTAGTGGAGAGGAGGAAAAGCATATTATTGACAAGAGTAAAGCACATCAAATTTGTCTTAAGTATAGCACAGTCCAGTTTACAAGTTTTAGATAGGTTTCAAGAGATCATTGAGATCTTCTAGGTGGTTCTTGAGGAACTCCAAGTGTTATTGAAGGGATTGGAAAGATGTTTGGAGATTTTAGAGGTACTTTATAATTTAAAACTACTCTTACTGTATGTGGTGGAGAAATCCTTGCTATATTGCTGTGGCTGGTTGCACAAAAATCTTAGGTTTTATCCTTATATGTGACACCTAAGGCTTAATTTCCCCTTATTTGTTCCACAGAAACCCTTAACAGAATTCCTCAGTTAAGGTAAATTGTAAAAGGCATTTACTCTATAAAATAAATGTTATTGTGGTAACCCTTTACAGTTTATATGGGGACCTTTTGTTTGTTAGAAGTTTGCAAAGATCTGTCACAAACAAATGTTGTTTATTTGTTTGTCCGTATACAATTTTTTAGCTCGAACATCTCGACAGCACCACAATATATAATTCAAAACAGTATTTGACACATCTTAAGCCTTTTTCAAATTTCGGATTTAAGTTGTTGTAAACGTTGTTTTGCAAAAGCAAAAATCGAAAGCATATGTGGAAGTTCTTAAGAGGGTTACGGCAATTTTTTAGTGTTTCCAGGGGTATTTATGGTGTGTCCACACATATACATATTGACCTTTCTTTAGCATCTTTAAGTACTTTGAAGTTCATGAGACATTGATTTAAAGACAGAAAAAAGGCAGATTTCACTCTCAAAATAGTGTGTTTTCACGAAAAGTGGTGCAGTTCCACGTCCGGCCACCAGGCGTCGCCAAACTGCCTCCTGAGTCTCAGTAAAAAAAAGACTCTTTTCAGAAAATCCTCTTCCGTATATGGATTAGGGGGCGCGGTGCAAACAGCGCAGTGCATCATGGGAAACTGCGTTCTTTTTGTGCAGATGGCTCGCTTGTTAAGGCTGTATCAGAATCATAAAAAACTACAAATCCCTAGTGAGTTTGGAGAAACCGTTTCACCGCCTGACTTTACAATACAAGCGCAGAGGTGACCCTTCCGTGCAGTCCAACTCTGAGCAGGGAGAACAGGCACATCACACAGAAGCATCTTCACCTCTTAGCTAAAATGGTAAGAACCATCATTAGCTGCTTTACTGTATGTTTCTAAAGGTTTATTCATGTAACAGGAGTCCTTTTATCATGTTTAAAGGTGTGCTAAATGATGCATTGAGAGTTGACATTGAGGAAAGGGTTGCAGCGTCAGAATTTAATCTCACTTTCTGCTATTTTCTGGATGTTTTGCATGTTCTGAATGAATGTTTAAAGAACCACGTTTGTTACACGCAGTTGCATCACTCACGTTAAAGGTGGTTTCTCAGACTATGCAATGTTAGCTTCTGCAGCCCTGAGTTGTGTTTCCGTTGTTTTAACACTTGCTGGTCTGCTGTACATTCATGCATTTGCCTCCATTTTAGTCAGTAGGCAGTGGCGTGGCGTCACGTCATCATCGGCCTTTGTTTTATTCAGTCGCGACAACCAATCATGACAGGAGATTCATCAGTTTGAAACTAGCTTCACAAAAAAAATCGCTATTTAGATTTCTTGATTTTTCGATGAGTTGCAGCAGGTTCAAATATGATGCCTGACTTAAGTTCAACCACCCTTCAATTCGGCTTGCATTATTTATAGTACTTGAATTTGGCTGCATCCAGTATTTGGCACAGTTAAGCATTGTGTGATTAATCATTAAAAATCATGTTTTTTGATGTGATGCATGCCAAATTAAAGAGGGATATCAGTTGCTACAGATAAAGTCAAAAATTAAACTGAATGTCCTCCCCTCCTGTACTAGTATGCAAGGTCATTTTAAATTGCACGTATTTCTTAATGGAGCTTGGTGCCAAGTCCTCTTTGTACTAAAGGGCCGAGGAGAATGAAGGCCTTGTGAAGCAGCAGTGAGGTTTCCATCCGTTAAATACAGGCTCTCTTAACTTCAGACCAACAATGCATGTTACTGCCGCCTCGTTTCCTTCCTATCTAGGTCAATGACACATTTTTTTAATCCATGTTTTCCCCTCCAGGCCGAACCAATCCGTGTTGTGGTGACAGGCGCTGCTGGGCAGATCGCCTACTCCCTGCTGTACAGCATCGCAAAGGGAGATGTGTTCGGGAAGGAGCAGGTGAGATTACATAACCTCGAGCAGAGCCCCTTTTCCCCCTGAAAGCTGCACAGACTGTGTGGAGCATGTTACATAATGTCCTCATCATGAATAAAACAGGGTTTAATGTGGGGTTTGCCATCTGCTTAGCTGTTGAGACCTTAACAGTGAATCTTACTCTAATAATACTATACTATTTGAATATTTTCTGTATTGTACTTTTCCGTCACATCGAATAAGCTGATTGGCCCAGAGGAGGCACCTCGATAAGGATCAGACTTGGCTAGCGATATGAAACTTTGTACTATTTTGTAATATTTATCAGCAGCTATTGAGTGTTTTTTTTAATCTCTAGCAGCGTTTGCATCATCCTCAGAAATCCTGAAATGTTCCCGAAGTGTCTTATGGATGTGATGCATGCCGAATTCAAAAGTACCCTATAGTATATAGAAAGACTCTTTTATTTAGTGACATGTTGAGTCTGATCATGCCAATATGCAAGGTCAAGCTACCATTCAAGGTGTTTTTTAATGGAGTTAAATTCTCTGTTCCTCTGAGCAGTGCTTTTAACATAAGAACTCTGTTCTTGTTGCAGGATTTATACACTTGTATTTATCGAATTCAGGAAATGTATTGGCATTCATAACAAAAGAATACTACGCTTTACTGATCTATAGATTAAAAGGTTATTTAAGAAATAAATAAGATGGCAAATGAAGTGCCAGAAACTCTCATTTTATCTGTAAAAGTTGCCTTACAATTACAAAGAAATGCATTACTGATAAAAACATTTTTTTAAAGGGAAGAAAACATTTGGGAATCTTCCTCAATAGCTTTTATGTCTGCCAGAAATGCTGAGTCACCATGATGCAAGTTTCCCTAAAAAAAGAACATTTTAGAAATACGGTTTTCTAATGAGTCATAGTTGTTTCCAAAATCCACATTTCCTTCACAGATAATGCTTTGTGGATTTTAGGGTGATTTTTCTTGTTGTTGTTGTTTCTCAGCCCATCACCCTGATCCTGCTGGACATCCCCCCCATGCTGCCCGTGCTGGAGGGAGTCGTCATGGAGCTGCAGGACTGCGCCCTCCCACTGCTGAGGGGTGAGGAAACTCTCTCCGATGCATGGTTCACACACTAATCTGACCTTTAAGTTATAAATAAAATGCATTTAGTTTCTCCAAAGCTTTAGACTGCTCTACAAGGTTTATTTAAAGTAAGATAATAATATTTTTAGACTAAAGGAGAGATAACTATTCACCTTCCTAGGATGTGCTTGTACCTGGAATAATGGGGCTGCATTTCTGGAGATGTGATGTTCAAATGTAGCTGTCGTCAAAAGTGATAAAATGTTCTGTAAATATTTTAGTGTAATTGTAAATTAAAGAACAATCCTGACAAAACAACTATTGGTGAGGTCTGAAAGGGTTTCATCTTTGAATGTAATCCTAGTATGTTCATTAATAATGTAAATAGCTTAATTAGACTGATGAATAAATCATTGTAAAGCAATTTGCCAATTACGTTATGCATGTTCCTTCTCATTTAATCTAACAAAAAGAAGTTGATTTGAATGCAGAATAATTAATTGTGGATTAATTAATCTGGTGAGATTTAAGATTGTCAAGAATAAACATTAACTAATATTCAGATTTAAGGAAAAGTACATTTTGTATTGAATTTTACTCTGAAACGTATTATTTGCTTGCATTCAATTCACTTTTGAGCTGAGGGATATCTTGTCTGTTCTATACAGCAGCTAACGGAGACAACCCCGCTGCAGCAACATAGTGAGGATATGTGTATGTACTGATATTAATAAGTCATTAAAAAACAAAGGGTATGGATAAGGTGCGTTTTACAACACATGTCAGTTATTTCAGTTCTTAAAACTCCTGTGAAGCAACACTAGAGTATTGCAAACCTCCTATGAGGAAGGAAACTGCACAACGAAGACTTTTTGTAATAGTTCCTGTAATCTCAGTAACAATTGTTAGAGCTAGATTTTGTTCATCCCTCACAGAAGAACGCAATGTTAAACTAATATTCTCCACTTTAAGGAGTCTGATGTCGACCACGTGTCTCTGCATCTGGATCGCATTTTAATGCAGAGCACGCTGTGTTTAAATGTGTCCTTCAAAACCTCTGCAGTGCTGCTGCTGTGTGGAGGAGGAAGGAGGGTCTAAACCCAGGCCTCTGATTGGCCGGTGGTTAAGACACCACAGTAGCCAATCAGATCAGTGGTGGGACAACAATGAGGGGAAGTGAACCCTGACTGAAGTCCACTCTGATAGCACTTTAACTTCTAATGACAGACATAAAACACATCCTATCAGGATCAGACGAGCTGGCAGGAGGGAAGCTGAGGAAAACTGAGATTTTAAACTTTTCTGAGACAAAGAACGACTGATTTAAAGTGAAAATCTTCCCAAAGTACATAAAGTCGAGTCAGTAATTAACGAAATTGTAAAAACCTCAGAGTGAAGCCCATTGTAAAACAACATGTACGGAGATGAGTGACGTAGACAGATGTTTTTGTACCTTATCAGTACCAATAGTTCACCTTATCGTTATCAATACGTTTCTACAGTCACCATCCGTCACCTGTACACAGCAGATAAGATATCCATGAGCTCAAGAGGTTGATAATGGACGCCAATAAATAATACAGATAATGTGTTGTAAAGTAAATAATTGTAAGAAGAATTGTTAAGTTGAAAAGCTTAATTCCAAAATACTAGATTCGTTCTTCCCCCAAAAAATATAAACTGCATTCAATACCGCTATTTATACATCTGATCAAGAAGATGACGCACAGCTTAATCGGCAAACTACTTTGATTTGAGGTCAGTTAATATTATATAGCAACTACTAATTAACATTAAACAGACAATTGAAAACCCTTCATTTCCAGTTAATTCTACTTTAAAAAAGAATCATCTCTCAGATGGGCGTGGCCAGCAGCAGCTCATTAGCATTTAAAGCTACAGACACAGAATCAGCACTTTTGAAACAGAGGGGATTATGGGATGCTGCAATGATCTGTTTGGTGTTTCAGCCAATCAGAGACAGGCTCTGTATATATCTGAGACCTGTAATATATTGATGAAAAACAGTATAATAGGTGACCTTTTAAAGTGAAGTGGATACACAATGACAATATGCCATCATGAAGCTATGAGAAGCTAAGTATAAGCACATACAAATAAGACCGTAGTTTGCACTGAATATATGTACAAAGAAAAAACAAAAAAAAGAATTCATTTAACTTTTTAATGTACTTATGGAACATTATGACATTGTTAAATATAAGTATATTTAAAAAAAAAACATGTCATGCTAGCGCTACATGCTAATACCAGACTTTCTGTATTTTTACTTATTTTTCTAGGACTGCAGATTTGAACATAATTGGACACATCACTTATTAATAACAATACTTGTAATCCTAATAATAAGCATTGTTTTTAATGAATATAAACTCATCCCATGCTGTTCCTCTCCTCCCCCTCAGAGGTGATCCCCACTGACAAGGTGGAGGTCGGCTTCAAGGACATCGACGCCGCCATCTTGGTTGGCTCCATGCCGAGGAAGGAGGGGATGGAGAGGAAGGACCTGCTGAAGGCCAACGTGGCCATCTTCAAGACTCAGGGCTCCGCTCTGGACAAGTACGCCAAGAAGACCGTCAAGGTGACTCTTTAATCCGACATTTCAGCGGTTCCCAAATTCAAATAATTAGCAAAACATTATGATTTGTGTGGAAACATTTTCATTATTAAGATATTTTTTATATTGGAACCTCCTTCCTTCCCTTTCTCTTTCTCGATCCTCCTTAGCAACGGTCAGTACAGTCCTTGACAGCGGTCTATTCTACTGGATTAACAACGTGTCACATGTTCTGAATTGACCAATCAGAACTTTATTTAGCCTCCGTATTGTTTATGGTTGAATGTGGGCCACGAAAACATTTTTAGATTCTTAAGTGGGCCGTGAGTTGAAAAAGGTTGGGAACCGCTGCTCTATTTGATTATATTTAATGTCATTTATTTATAGACCGAGATGTCCCACAGGCTCATGTCGACTCAGCGTGTATTCATAACTTCTGGGAGTTTCAGTCACACCACAGGGAAATGAAAGTGCTCATCCAGCGTCTTTCCTCTAACAAAGCTGACTGTTTCTCTGCTGTCACGTTAACTCTTAAAGCAGCTTCATGTTTCTACAGAGATCAATTCTTGAAAGTCGATTCTTCTTCTCATTCGGACGTTACATTTCTGTTCTGGTTTTGCACCTGAAACCGTACATCACACAGACTTGGTACTAGGAGATCAGGCCGCTCTCTGTCCGATCAAAATGAAGCGAACATTAATGTTTTAAATATACTTTGGCTAATGTCTAGATCATGCGTGTCAAAATCCATTTAGCTACAGACCATACTGGGACATGAGGATCACATCAAGAGCCAGTCATATGGTTTTCATTGCGTGTCCCATATAGTCTACTCACAACGACCTGCTGCTCATAATTCCCCCAAAAAGTCATGTAAAAATAATGCACCTAGATAACAAACGGCTAACTCACAACAAGCTGTTTCCCCGGCCTGAAAAGGAGATGTAAATGGTTGTGTGGGACATTTATTCAAGTAATTAGTTATTTATCATATACTTTGCATGTCCCATATCTTCTAGCATTCTGATTTCTGCAAATAAAACGGTTTAATCCAGTCGAGAAAACTCATGTGCTGCCCATTTCACAGATGTAAATATGATGCGTTAATGTTAGCATGCGTTACGCCACTTCAATAGGTTTATTTCTAAACACCAGATATCTTTCTCTGATCACTTCCTTAAATGTTCTCCAGCTACAACAATTTAACATTTACAAGAGGCTGAATTTGAGCCTTGAGTCTGACACATGCTCTAAATAATGTCCTGGCTGCAGTGCATGTGTGAAACGGGTTAAAGTGAATCCAAAGCATTCAGTTAAGCAGGAAGGCCTCTAATGATTTAAAGTGCACCACGAGTCCAGCGTCAGTGTGACGAAAGAGGTTTCTACTGAGGTCAAAGGTCAGAGCGTCACATGTGGAGAAGAGAAAACAGCCTGATGTTGAACCCTGTGAGGACTTTAACATCAGAGGAAACTGACTTCTGTTTGTTTATTGAGAAACTTGACGTTATTTGTCTCCTCTTGTCTAGAATGGCCAAAAGTCAAATTGCAAATACAAATGTATGCAGTAAAATATAATTTCCCCCTCTATTGTTTACTTTTCAAATAGTAAAGATGGCTTGCATCAATTTGGATACTCCTCTAATTTCTAACTAACTTCCTTTGTTTCTTATCAGTCCACTATTTGACTCTTTGGTAGTTAAATAACTACAACATGTGTTTTATTTCATACGGAAATATGTCCTGTGTTGACATTTTATATTTGCATGTCAGTAGAAATCATCACAATCAGTAATTTAACGAAATATCTAGAAATAAAGAAAACACTGTTCTGAAATCATGATATTTTAAAAATATGTTTCAGGTTTTGGTTGTTGGAAACCCAGCGAACACCAACTGTCTGATCGCCTCCAAATCTGCTCCGTCCATCCCCAAAGAGAACTTCTCCTGCCTGACCCGCCTGGACCATAACAGAGCCAGCTCCCAGGTACACACACACACACACACACACACACACACACACACACACACACACACACACACACACACACACACACAGGTGCAGTTTAAGGTTGGTCGTATTGCTAGCTTTTGTCGCTACCTTTTTAAAACAAATGCGACATAACGGCTCATTCAAGTCCGTAGGTTCGCCTCGTTGATTTGGCTTGAATCCTAAATACTGCCACACCGGAGATGTGCTATTTGTTTTGCAATCAATTCCATTTAACTTCAAATTCCCCTCGAGTAAGTCACACGTTGTCTCCTGCTTGTCTCTATATTATTCATTTGGCTGCTACACTTCTGCACGCGGAGTGTCCTGACCTGGCTGTGTGTGAGGCCCCGCCCCTCACGGCGCGCCGGGCTAAAATGCTGGTCACATCCTTATGTAAACAAACACGCATGTAAACGGCAATTTATCGAGCTCAGATAAGCTGGGGTGGAAGCTGGGTGGAAGCTGGGGTGGATGCTCGGGCGGAAGCTGGGTGGAAGCTGGGGTGGATGG